CAGGAGAAGCAGACTTGGGCAAACTGATGCATGAATTTAAGCCAATACAGTTATTCTACTATTGCCTTCTGGGTGGTTAAAGCCTACATCAAAAGTTTTGGGGTTTCTTTCAATTTTACATACATTAGAAAAACATTTCTGTTACTTGCTTCTGTTCTATAATGAGTATTTGCACCCAAAATACACAGATACTTCCATGGTAATGCTGAGACTTTTTCTTGCAGACACAGTTGCTCTAGGCACAGATTCTGCAAACACAGAACAAAAAGTTGGTCTGCATCCCAAGAGTTTTACAATTGGATCGCAAGTCCAAGAGAAGACCAACTGATAGATGAATACAGGGAAACAATGACTTAGCACGGTTTGATCATCCTCGTATTAACTGCTAAAACTTCCTCTATGCCAAAAACTTCTCATTTTGAGGCCTTCCTGTTGGGCTTTCTTAACTGAACTGCATCTGGAAGGTTTGTGCTGCAAAATTTATTTGTGTGTTTTTCCCACAAATACGCCTTTTTTTTTTCCCCTGCATACAATAAAACAACAATTCATCCCTCCTCCAGTGTGATCCCGAAGACCAGATCAAACCTCTCTCAGACTGATAAAAGGTCAAGCTGACAGCAGCAGGCTTTGGACCTGACCCAGACAGAGGGGTAGTCCAGATCGACATGCTAATTTAGGACCTGATCCTGTAAACTTTGATTACACTGGGATTTTATTACAATGACAGAATTGCACAAGTCGGAGATGGGAAAAATCAATTAGGTCATCCAGTCTATTTGTTGCCAGTGTAGGATTGTTCTCTGCTGCACATGTTGTCAGTTTTCTGCCATTAGATATTTTAAATATCTGAAACATAAAGACATTATTAAGAATATTGGGACTGGATCTTTCAAAATCAGTTTATTTTTTCAAAAGTATACTTAAGTTCAACTTGTGAGTAAAGCATTTTCCATCACTCACGTTTTTCAGTATACTTAGACTATTCAAGTACAATCTTCTGTTTGTGATATTAACAGCTTTTGAGAATACTCATGATGTTAAGGGAGATTAACCTCCTAAATTGAACATGACTAAATAACAAATGGGTTATGTTAGGAAACATAGAGAAAAGTAACAACTGTCAGATTGGGAAATACGGAAAAGAGACACACACAGAAACACAAATACTTACATCTATGTGTCTGTGTCTGTGTGGGTGTGGGTTCTGGGTAATTTCTTATATATTGGTGTCTTTTTGTGTGCTTTGCCAAGTGTGCTTGCCCTTAGTTAGCACAGGAAAAGAGAAATCTGGAGCAAAGACTGTCATGATTTGGGGTCCTGTGCAGTGCCAAGAATATTGTGGGTGTTTAACAAATAGTAGATGCATTGAGTTGTGCAACTGTTACTCAGGACTCCTGCTCCAGTCCTCCAACCCTTCTCCCTTCTCAGACATTACTGACCCAGATCTGTGGGGAAGCTGCTACCAGGAATGACTCCTTGGTGGTGGAGTCTGGCCTATGCCATCTACACCCTGATCAGTACCTGAAAAATAAGAATATGTATCAGACACAGTATGCTTCAAGATATATATCAGAAGCAATCCTTTATTCCTTTACTGTGTTTCCCAAGTTGAAAAGGCAAATTAGTGACTCTTTTGTTCACTTACACAAACTATTTCCAGTCTAGAGAAGAATGACAAAGGGTGAACATTCAGCTGTCCTGTTCACATGGCTAGTTTTTATGACTAGAGTGCCATTTTAAGCAAACACAATATCAGCTATTAATTGAATATTAATATTTTATTTGCAAATAATCTGAGGATCCTGAGGCCACCTTTTTCTCCAATACAATGTATTAGCTATTTGGAAAACTGAAATCAAGATTTTCTAGCTATGGGATTTTGCACGGGATGGGCATATGATAGTGAAAACACCACACACCATTACTCTTTGATGAAAGGATACAATCCTTAAAAAAAAAAAAAAAATCCAAACTACAGCAGAACAATACCTAGCTGATTTTACAGACTCCTGCTGCTGGCTTCATTGCAGCTCAGTAAAACAGACGTATTTGACTTTCCGGCAGCACACAGACCATCAGCCATTCTGTCCCTCCCCACCCTCTTTATTAAACCCGAAAACAGCGCTGCATTGAACCACCCTGGGAACTGTTTCCGATTCATCTGTTTCACTTGCAAGGAAACACTGCATCCAGCTCCCTCCCAGTGTGTACTACTGCTGCTCCTCACATCTCCCAGCCTGGTGAAGGGAGGCTTCTTGCGTGCTGGATCTCCCCAAAACTGATGGTCCACCTAGCTCGGGCCCAGGCACAGCTGTGCAGCCCTTGCAGCCCAGCCCGCTCGCTGGCTCTGCCTCCCCAGGGCTGATGTCAGCCTGAACTTTGCCGCTGATATCTCATCCATCGGGATGAGCGACATAAACAGAGAATTGCACGCCAGAGTTTTGCTCTGGAACAAGCTCCTTCCACACATTTCAACAATATAAATCTTCCCCTTTTATCACAGGACGGCAGTAACTGTTTATGGGTTCAGTTTGTTATTGTTGTTGGGTGGTTTTCTTCCCCCCTAACGGGGCTGGTTTGTGGAGGCAACCAGGCTCCTGGCGTCCTCTCACCCTGCCGCTTTTTGGATCCTGTCTTGAGTCAAGGCACAGCTTTTGTTTTCTTCTCGGTCTATGTCTCTGCCCCTCTTCCACAGCCAATAAACCACCTCTCCCCCCCGCTGCTGGTCACTCATGCATGCCCTGCCCTACTGCTTGGCCCTGGCTTGGTGCTTGCTCCACAAGTCGGTTCTGCTGAGGCTCTTGGGTGACCCAAGCAGTCCCCGGGGCTCTCTCCCAACACATCTGTCCCACGCATCTCTGCTGGAGCGAGGACACAGCGAAAGGAAGAGGCTAGAGAGACAGTGAGCAGAGTTTCTCAGTCGTGCTTTGTCAGAGCAAGGAGAGGGAGTTGCACTCCCCATTTGTTTAATGTTTTCCTTATGTTTCTCGCGGAGCGTTTTTTTTTTGACATGCTTTCTCTGCCCACTGGTGCTAATGCTGCTCGAGTGAGTTGGCTGGCTAGCTGCAGGTTAGCTCACATACATGTCCCATCCTTTCTCCACTGCCTTGTTTATTTATGCCACTCGCCTGGCTTGCTCAGCTATTTATGCGTACACACTAGCACACAAGAAGTTTCAACCTCCAACGAGACGAAACATCGAGACAAATGCACTTTCTACATGTCAGGGTAGCCCCTAGTTTCGTCTGCTGAATGATTTTTATTTTATGCCTCTCTGGCAATCCCACCCCATCCGGCTCAAGTATCCTGGATTAGAAAGACTTTCCCCAGAGTCCTTTTCAAAGGGAGCCTCCCACAGACCTTTAAATCCCCCACATTTTATGGAGTCGATATTTAACAGCTCTGAGAGGGACAGCGGGGGGAGAGAGCGGGGAAAACAGTTACAAATAAGAGTGGCCGCTCCACACCATTGAGGTTCTTGATGCGATCAGCGCCGCTTCACACGGCTCACTCTCTCATCCCAGCGATAGGCACCCGAGATAAGAAGGCAAGCGAGAGAGGGCTCAGTGAAGTCTCCAGTTTTACCTTGAATCAACCTCACCACCCCCTTTGTAGCCTTCCCCTTCACCCCAAAAGGAAACCCTTGCGGGAGAAAAGAAACGCGATACCCTTCTGTCAAACGGGCCGCCTCGCTTCGCCGAGGTGCAGCCGAGCTGTGCCCTTGCTGCCGGCGCTCTGCCGGGGCTCCCGGCGCTCCCGGGCCGAGAGGCTGCTGTGCTCACCCCGGGCTCAGGGCTCCGCTCGACCCCGCTGGCCCGGGGCCAGCCCCGTGTGTCGCCTGCAGCCCGCCGGCCGTGGGGACGGTCCCCGACCCCGGCAGGACACGCGGGTTTGCTTTGCTCCTTCCCACCGGAGAAGCCACCCCGGAACACCCCTGCCCGGTGGGGAAAGGCCACAACGGAGAAAAAAAGTCCCGAGAGGCAGGAGACCCCCCAGCGCCCCACTCCCATCTCCCCACCTCCGCTGCGAGCCGGGACGTAAGGGGCAAATTCGGGGACGAGAGGGTGCGCGCCGTGCGCCCCTCGGCAGGGAAGGGCTGAGCACCCCGGCCCGTCCCCCGGCGAGTGGGGGCGCCCCTCCCCACGGCGGGGCAGGGGCGCGGGGGGCAGCGGCATCTCCGCCGTGACCCCGGCCGGGCCGGCGGCGGAGGGGAGGCGAGCGAGACCGGCGGCAGGGAGGGGGCCGCCGGCGAGGCTGCAGAGCCCCGCTGCCGGAGGATGCTCGGGCGCCGCTGCCCCGAGGGGCTCTGCCGGGAGCGGGGAGCCTCCTCCCGCCGTGCCGGGGCGCTGGGCTCGCCTCCTCCCGGCGCGGCGCGCCCCGCCCCGGGGCCTCTCCCCCGGGGCCCCGCCGAGGAGCAGCTCCCGCATGAAGCCCGGGGGCTCCTGGTCGGCGGGCGGGAGAGCCGGGGGGGCCCGGCCCACCTGCGCCCGGCGGCTGGCGGTGCCCGCGGCGCAGAGCGCGGCTGCTCCGGATCGGCGGCGGCGGGGCTGGGTCCTCCCTCTGCCCCCCCGCCGCTCCCGCCCTCGCACACTCCTCTCCCACCGCCATCCATCCATCCGTCCTGTCGGCACCTCGCCCGCCCGGCTCACACACGGGCGCGCACAGCCGCACGCACCCCGGCACCCGCACAACATGCTGCCGGCCGCCGGCCCGGCATGGACCCCGGCGGCGGCTGCTCGGCTCCTCTCCGCTGCTGACTGCCCTCTGAGGTTCGCGGCAGGTAGCGGGGCAGACTGCTGGAAAGTGCAATAGGAAGAGCGAAGAGGAAGGGAAAGGAAAAAAAAAAAAAAAAAAAGGAAGAAAAAAAAAAAAAAGAGAAAAAAAAAAGGCAAAAGACATCAAGCCGGCCAAGCCCAGTTTTGGATCTCAGTGCAGGTATTTCTGCTGCTGTGTTCATCCCTTGCCGCCTACCACCCCGGTTTATTATTTCTTTTTTTAAGGAAAGAAAAAAAGGACGAAAAGGAGAAGTCGAACTCCCAAAGGGTTACTATGCAATTGCGACTGATTTCTTGGTTTTTTATCACTTTGAACTTTATGGAATACATTGGCAGCCAGCACGCCTCCAGGGTACGGCGACAGGGAAGAAGTAAGTGCGAAGAGATTTATACTTTGATAACTTCTGGTTCCTCTCGTTGTGCTGTTCACCTGTCCGGGGGGTTCCGTGCCCCCGGTGCCCGGGCGAGTGCGCTGGGAACTAAATCCCGCGTCAGCGGCGCGGCCGAGCGGATTTGCAGGCAGTTTCATTCAACTGGAGGGATGAAAGCGATTTTTAACCTCTCTCTGCTCTTCTTTCTCACCTCACCGGGATGAGCAGCGCGGGCTCTGGGAAGACCTGCGTCTGGTGCTTTACATTTTAATTTCTGGTGAAAGGGAACGTCCTTTCTTAGGTCTTTCCTCTTTCTGAAGGGAAAGGGCGATGACACGACAGGTAACTTTTTGCCAGTATGCCCTAAGCACCCTTCTCCATCCCGGTCAGGAAGCCCCCTTCCCAAGAGCGGGCAGTACGGATTATCGCTATAGGCTAATGCTGAGGGGAGCCGGGGGTGTCCCGGCTCTGTCCGGCCCGTTGGCTTTCAGCCTCCGCTGGCCACCAGTCACCCACTGCCACCGTCCTGGGACCGTGGCCCCTGAATTTTTTAAATTTTTAAGATTTTTTAGATTTTAATCCCATGGGATGACGCGAGTCCGTCCCTTCTGATTTAACCGGCCCCGGTCCATCTCGGCCCGGGTCCGGGGCAGAGGCAGGCGGGGGCCGGGGGGAAGAGATGCAGTGCCCAGGGTCCTGGCAGAAGCTGCCTGCCCCCCGTGAGTGTTAGAAAGGAGAGCCCCCCGTCATCGGGGCAGAGAGGACAGGGAGGCAGCAGCGAGTCGCCCCCTTGGGAAGTCGCTGTCCAGGTCGCGGGGCGCTCCACGCTCAGGCGGTCTCTGGCTCTGGCCTGGGGGTGCGGTGTGAGCTCGGATCCGCGGTGACACCTCCGGCAGCGCCGCCGGCCGGAGCCCTGCCGTGACCCTGCCGCAAGGAGCCGTGGATGAGCGGGATGCGGCGGCAGAGGCCGGCGGGACGTGCCCCCGACCCGGCCTCGCCACCCCGCCTGAATGGGACCCGCCGCTGCTTCGGGAGAGGAGGCGTTTTCTGAGGGGCTGCTCACGCCTGTGCGCTCCCCCTGACAGCTGCAGACACCGAGGAAATGTCATAAAACACAGCCCCCTGCATTTCATCAGCAAGAAGTAACTGAGTTACTTCCTCGGGGAGGGGAGGTACTGTTATTTTAATTTTCTCCTGCTCAGCCTTCGCTCCCTTGCCCTGCTTGGCACGGCTGGCCCTTGAAAGCCTCCTTTGTATGGTTTGCCTCCTGCAAACAAGTTTTGATTCACCTAAAGTGCCCCTAAAGCGGAGCTGCGGACGAGAGAGAGCGGGGCTCCAGCCCTCCGATCCCCACGGCCTCACAGCGAGGGACCACTAAGGGCTAAGTAAAACATGTCAGGGCATCCGGTTTATTATCCTTGGCAAGGGAGGGCTCCGCAGCCTCCATCACCTCCCACCCACTCCTTTAACCCCTGGCGACCGCGGGCCCGCAAGCTGCGGGGGCCACGGAGGGGTACCCCGCGGGCTCGGCGGAGGCTCGGCCCGGGCTGGGGGCACGGCGGGGCTCGGGGGGCAGCGCGGCGGGGCTGGGGGGCAGCGCGGGGCCCCCTCCTCCCGCACTCGCTCCGGCGGCACCTGGAGCGCGGCGCGCCGGGCCAGCGCCGGGCCGGCGGCGACCTCTGCTGTCCCGTGCCGCGGCGGGCAGCCCGCGCCTGCAGGTGCTCGGCTCCCGCACGGCTCGGCACGGCTCGGCACGGCTCGGCACGGCTCGGAGCTGCCCCGCTCTCTCGGCGGGAGAAGGCAGGTCTGCCTCCTGCCCCGAGCGGCGGGGCAGACGCGCCGTGCTCCTCCCGGAGAGCGCCGTCCCACCTCGCTCGTCCTCAGGCAACCTGCACAGCGGGGCAGCTTTCGGGAAATAGGGCGGAAGGGTTGGCCGCGAATGTTGAGCTGGTTGGTACACCGTGGGGAAGGTACCGAGCACTTGCTCAAAGTTTTTATGGCAATGTTTTATGGTTGAAGTGCAGGAGTTAGGATAAATTCAGAGCAGAACAAGTGGCTGGAAAATCACAGCTAGAGGGTCAGAATGGGAATCTGGCTTGTTTTGGCAGCAAAGGCAAAAAGCCTTTCAGAACACCTCACCTGGATATGCTATACATCATCCGCTGGCCGAGGTCTTCAAATCCAGCTGGTTGCAAAACACGATTTGGTATAAATAGTGGTTACTTAGCTTGAAGCAAAGAATTAGAGAGTGAGTGTTTATGAAAGATTATAAAAGTGGTTATGATCTCTTGCACTAATCACTTTGGCTTAAAAAATCTATGAATTGCTGTTAGTAATAGTGCAACTTTATTATAATTATAGTGTGCAGATAAAGACGACACCTGCCAAATTAATCTACTGTGTGGAAGACTTTCCCGGGATTTTGCTGAGACAGTCTCCTTTAGTCACAAATCATAAGCACATTTCTAGGGAAATATTTTAAAATTTCTCTTTAACCTGCTTATTTTTAAATATAGTACAAATAAGTTCCCATCAAGCAGTCAGTGAGCCCATGTTACTTTGTTTTGGTTATTATCAGAGTCCTCCACTCCATGTATTATATTGTAGACTTACATAATTTAAAGTAATTATAAAATCTGAACTGGCTAATTCAGAATACACCATGCCAGAGTCCCAGCTGGTATAAATAGAAGTTCATTTGTTAAATTATCCCATCAGAAGGATCTGGTCCTGAAGCATTACTTATTTTGTACCTATTGCCAAAGTAATCCTTCCTATGAGAAATGTCTAGTTCGCAATCCTTTTGCTATCCAAACTCCTACTGAATTTTCTAGCTGGGGAGTCCTGAATTTCTGTCCTGTGATCAGTAATAAAGATATAGTCGGCTGTGGAGAGATAAAACTCCTCTGAAGTCAACAACAAAGTGCAGAAAGATGATTGGGTCCAGAATTAGACATAGAACACAATCAATAAAAGTTAAAAGCAAACATACCACTAGCAGAGAAATTTGTGGTTTTATTCTGATAAGAGCAATCAAGATTAACAAAGTTGCAGGTTTGAGTCTTACAAGACAGAGTAATATGCAGCTGAGTATAGACTAGTGTACCAATAAATAAGAATTTCTATGTATTGGCCAGTGATTGCAGTTTGCTTAGAAAAAAAAGGACGATCAAGTCAATAAGTCCAAAATATTTTGGCTCTGCAGAGTACTACCAGTCCCCAAAACTTACTACTGACAGTTATGTACATCTCTCACTGACCCTCAAGTAGACAGAAATGAAGTATTATTTGCTGCGGGTCTGTGAGTGACCGGCAGACCATTTGCCATGACCTGTGGACTAGCAGTGAGCCGTGGACTAAATTTGGAAATCCAGAATAAGTAAACTGATAGAAAATTCTGTATTTCTACTACACTCTTACATTTGTGGCTAAAATAACATGTATGACTCTATGGAAATGCAGTTTGGAGGTAGAGCTCCTGTGATTATTGGTAGCCCGTCAAATTGTCTCCTGCCTTTCACCATAACAGCACATCCAGGATACCCAGGGCTTCTTCCTTCCTGCCTTCCTGCCCTCCTGCCTTCCTGCCTTCCCTCCTGCCTTCCTGCCTTCCCTCCTGCCTGCCTTCCATTGCTCCTCTGTCCATTCCTCTGTCCATTCCTCTGCGGGACTGCAGGTCTTCCAGCACCTGCTTCTGGTCACAATTGCAAGTGGAGGGCTCCAGCCTGCAAACACTCTGCATCTCTGGCTTGGTTTGCATACAGCTACTTACAAACCCAAAATGAGGGAGGTGTTTAACAGCCCATTTGTACAGATAACTATATAAATTACAACAAACTGGGAAAATATTGACAAAACAACTGGTGAAATTATTTCTTCAGTCTTTTTATCCTCTTGAGGAGGGTGTAATTCACATGGAGGTAGAATGTCAGCAAGAAAAAAGGAGTTAAATTACTAATTAAAATAACACTTCATTGTAGAAACAATTCTTTTAATAGTTCACCACCTATATATATTATATATATCTACATGTATGTTCAGGGTTTGCACGTCACAGATGGCACTACTACAGAGTTCATATGTAATCTAGATATTGTTACTAATTTTTAAAAATAGAAATTATTTTGTATCTTGGTGCAACAGTTTTAAGCAGAAGTTAGCCAGGCAAGCGGCCATCAAGCAGCACCCCTTGGGCAGGATTGAATTACTGTTAGTTCTCTTTCAAAGTGTTTGTATGCTGCTGATAATTTTTCTCTAATCTCTTCATATTAGCACTGTGAGGGTAAATACTCTGATGGCAACAAGTGTGTCCTTTTCTTTTTTGCAATGAAACAATATTTCTCATTTTTTGGATGAGAATCTGCCCATTTAAAATTCCCATTGCAGTCATTGGAAACAGAAGCTGTTCCATCGTGTTATTGTAAACTGTGAATATATCTCATTGTAGAGATATCTTAAAAAATTAAATATCAGAAAATCACTATCGATCGCTGAAAGCTTTTGAAGCATGATAAGGATGGACTGCTTGTGTTATTTAAAAAAAAAATAACTCAGTATGTATGTAAAATCTGTGCCTGATCATACCAGCACATGTGGAACGATAAGTGTTGTTATCCCCAGAGACTAAAGGACGTTGCTGAGCAGTTCCCATTTCATACCTGATATCTGAAAGGGTGATAATTTTAATTTTTTTTCTATAACTTGCTGAAGACATTTCTTATACTATATAAAATTCGTGTTAGACTTTAAATATATGTTACTACAACTTCTCAAAGATAGTGATATAGGATGGTATACCTGAAAATACATGAAAAGTTCTATTTCTCTCTGTAGAGAGAATAAAATATTGCTATTATTAGTAAGAAGGTTTTAGAGCTTGAACATGCCTTCTTTACTTTCAGTGGAGAAAGTCCTACGGACTATGCTGGAGCTGGAGTGAGCTTTTTTTTGCAGGACCTCAGGATACATTTTGAATTTGGAAGAAATCCCATACTAAAATA